GCCGGCCAGGGGGGTGCCGAGCAGGCGCTGATGCAGTGGCTGCGGCAGCCGCAGCAGCAGCCGCAGCCGCAGCATTCGCAGCACTCGCAGCATTCGCAGCATTCGCAGCAGCCGCCGGCTCAGGGGCAGCAGGCCTCTGTTCCCCCACAGCCGTCTGTGGGCAAGAGCCACCAGCACCAGCACCAGCGGCGGCGGCAGCAGCGGCGGGCGCAGGAGCCGCGGGGTGCGGAAGACGATTTCAGCGGCGCGACCTTGCGGGCAGAGGACGAGTACGGCAATGCCGGCGTGGCGCGTCGCCGCCACCGCCAGCAGGGACAGCAGGAGCAGCAGCGGCGGCAGCAGCAGCAGCAGCAGCACCACCACCACCACCAGCAGCAGCAGCAGCAGTGGCAGCGGCGACAGGAGTCGCAGGCCGCGGAAGAGGACTTCAGTGGTGCAACCCTACTGGATGAAGACGAGTATGGCAATGCTGACGCGGCGCGCCGCCGCCACCGTGGGGGCCGCCACGGCCGCGGAGGGCGCGCGTGCGCGTGCTGAAGGGGGCGGGGGCGCTGCGCCCGGGATGAGTAAGGATGGTATGGCTTTGTTGGGGGGCGGGGGTTGAGCGAGATTCGGGGTGCTGCGATACTGGGGCCCGTGCTGGTGTCCGACACCAGCATCAAGCCTTGACTGAGTGAGTCACTTTGTGACGTGACCCGCAGCTGGTGGAAAGCCCTGTCTCATTTTCTGGCTGCGCTACGTGCCTGCACCCTCTCCCGCCGCCCCTCCGCCAATCCGTTGGGGAGTTGTGTCCAATCTGCCCTGCGACCTGCGCACATGCGCACCACTTCTCGACTGGGTACAACTTGCATCTGGCGTATGGAGTCTGATCTTTCTGTTGGACTCAGTTTGCCCTGGTCATTCTTGTACTCGAGCCCGCCCCGGACAATTCAGTCACCACAGGACCCGCATCAGGATTCTGTAGCTGCGTAACCACTGTGTGCCGGTCCCTACCGTGCATTTGTGCGTTCAAGACCTGGGCCGAGTGTTGAGCACAATCCCATCCTTGGATTCGCCCGCTTTTCGTCACTCTTGCAGTACCACTGCAGCCGCATGTAACTCACTCTTCACAAAAGTCGGGCATTTACAATTAGCCACAACAGGCCAGTGGCAGCTTTGTGAATGGTGATTGGGTGGTCCTGCCGTTCCAAGCGTGACAGCCCATGATCAAATGGCGCCAACGCGCGCTTACAGGTCAGCATGGCGGCGTGTACGCATCAAGCAGGCGGCATCAAAAGGCTGGCGCAGGGGTGCGGGCCTCCTACATGTCAGGGCAAAATCAGGCTTGACTGCAAGACTGCGTACTTTAGAGAACGGTGCTCAGCAGACGTGGGCAGCAGCCGCTGCGGGAGCAGGCGGTTAATTCCACACCAGCGAGCCGGGGCCCAGCCAATGCGGCTGGCTGCCGCGCCAGTGGTGTGTGTGCATGTCTCAGCACACGTGCGTCCCGCAAGCGGGCGCCTTCAAGGGTTGAGGGGCCCAAACCTTCATGCCTGCCTGCTGCCTAAAGCGATTGTACAAGCAAGCTGCCACGCGATTGAACGAACGAACAATGAATTCTATGAACACGCCTGCTAAAGGACATGAGAAAGCCCACAAACCGACAAAATAGCCAAACACACCGGCCAACACTGCACGCCGCAGCCGCTTTGGGGTTCAAAGGGGTGCGCCAACAGGCCTCCGTCAGCGCCTGCCGTCGCCGCCCCGCGTCCGGCCAAAAACACGGCCAAAAACGCCGCCGCCCAGGGCGCGCTGCCGCGCTCTGCGCCAAGCCCCCTGTTGCTGCCGCCACGGCTGCCGCCGCCGCGCATCGCTGGCCGAGCGTGCCGCACGGAGGGGGCGACCACGTGACAGGAACGCGGACGAGGTGGCCCCGCGTCACAGAAAAGACGTGACCACCAACACAGCGAGCACCACGCACAGCACCGCGATGAGTTTCAGCTGGCCGTCGTTCCTGGCCGCGTCGGTCACCTCTTTGATCCGCTTGCGCAGGCCGCGCAGGCGCAGCTGGCTGGTGTCTGTGTGGTCTGTGAGGTCGCCAATCAGCAGGTGCTGCTGCTCCAGCTCCTCATTCATGGAGAGGCCGACCTGCTTGATGCTGGGGGTGGGGTTGGGGGA